GCATCAGGCCCATTCCAGTCAATAATCTTTTTAATTGCCCTTTCACTGTGACTTTCCAGCCACTAAACTCCCTCATATGTCTGCACCTGGCCCACCCCAGGCTACTTGCCACTCTTTAGTCCCATCCAGATCTTCCCACAGTCTTTCTGTATAAAAGTGTTCATCTTGCCCCCATTAAATTGCTCAGATTCTTAAAATCTGGCCCACTTCTATTGGCAATGCAATAAACCTTGTCTCTTGGACTGAAAGAAGGCTTGAATGGTCGAATTCTTTCAAGACAGACCTACACCCTTTGCCCTTGCATTTTGGAGTTCCCAGCATCTCTAGACTGCAACATGTGCAGTTAAAAGGATTATTGACTGGGATGGGCCAGGTGCCTCAGGTGAAAGTCAAAGATCTGGGTTCAGGGGCTTTGGGGTCCAGGTCCCAAAGACATGGTCTTTTCCTTTTAGGGGTCTAGCATGAATCCCATCCCCATCATTCCCCCTCAAACAAATGGGACCCAAATTCTTTTGGGGTAAGGGGTGAAGGTCTCTACTTCTGAAACTACTTCTGCTGACAAGGGGCATAGAGCTGTCCTTGACTCAAGGGGGTCCTAGAGAGGAGGTTGACTGGAACCAAGCAAAGACTGAATGCATTCAGGGGTTGATGGGAGGCATGGGCTGGTAGCCACTATTTGCTACCAACTAGGTGAATGGCTTGTAGTCTGGAAGACAAAAATTTGACAAGCAAGTCTGACAAGCAGAGTTCAATATGTAGGGCCCAAATATAGGGAGAAGTAAAAGTGATGTCAGAATGGGGGAAAACAAAGAAAGAGCCCTATTAGAATCATTTACATTTGACCTACAGGATTATCTGATCTTGTTACTTTCCCAAGCTTCCACTCAGATACCAATTCCTTTAGGAGGATCAGATACTATTGGGAAGTAACAACACTTTTCCAGGTAGAAGTTTTCCACCCTTGGCTAGAGACTGATTTTTGCTCCAATTATAACAAAAGACTTGGGAGGTAATTAAGTAATGATTAATTATTTAGTTAAATTAAGTAATGATTAGGCTAAGTAGGTTACCTCCTCTCAGAAAATTGATTGCATTGACATTCTCTTCCCCAAACCAAACTGAAGATGTTTCTGATTTAATTCAGTTTTGGGATATGGAATAACTACACATTCAGGGCAAAGCAGTAAGATCTCACACACTTGCATTGTGTGTGTATCTTTTACTGACCATTTGCTCTGATTATAGAAATTTGCTATAAAAGGATAAAGCAGGAACAAGATTTATATCAAGGATAACAGGATAAAATATTCTTAGAATTCAGATAATTCACAGTTTCCAACCATGCAGTATCAAAAATTCTGCCTCAAAGCCAGACCTGGGAATAGCCAGGTGGGTAACATTCCTTTTCAAATGAACATAATAGGGAAACTGAGCCAGGAGTATCACATCTTAGACTAAAGTTAAAATTGTCCTCTCAGCTTTTCCAGTTGCAGACCTTCCACATGTATCACATTCTGTTTAAGTAGCTTGTGGCATTTCTCTCAGATGGTGGATTATTGACTATTGATTATTTTTTTTTTCAATTTTTAGGCAATTGGGGTTAAGTGACTTGCCCAGGGTCACACAGCTAGTAAGTGTCACGTGTTTGGTCTGAGGCCAGATTTGAACACAGGTCCTCCTGATTTCAGGTCCGGTGCTCTATCCACTGTACCACCTAGCTGCCTCTTTATTTTTTTAAAATTTGACTATTGATTATGGATGGATTATTATGATCCATCAGACAGCTCAAAATAAAATCAGTTATGGTCCCATGACCTTTTACCTCAAACAGCAAGTTTTACTAATCACAGCTTAGGGAAAATTTTTTTTTCCAGGATTAGCACCTCAAATTTAAATTTGTCTTGGTGTAAAAGCCATTAATTAGAGATCATTTCTATATACTTGCAAATTCTCAGCAAGTCAAGTTCATTATTTAAGAACTCTATAATCCAAACAGGTTTTTGGGCAAATTTACAAATAAAGGGGGATCAACAGGGACCCCAGAGAAGGGGTTTGCTGCTGTGGGCTGTGCCTTTTGACTAACCCTGAGGACTGCTCTGAATGGGCAGAAGCAATCAGGATGAGGCTTTCACTTTATCCCTTCCTTTCAGCACACAATTACCAGTTTTAGGTTTCAGCATTAAAACAATAACTAACAATCTTACAATTTTCCTAAATGATAGCCAAATTGTTTTAGCTATAACACATATATAATAAACTTCAGATGACATCAATTGCATTTCCGGATCATATAAAAATTATTGATAGAAGGATGAGCTGGCTTATCAAGTGGAGATGCTGACTGGCTTCTTTACCTTGACCCATCCTCTTTCCCTCTCTCCCCACAGCTGCTGGGGGTTGAGGTGGGGGTTGGTGAGCAGGATGTGCTTAACCTAGGTGATACTTCTAGGCTTTCTAGGCAGGCTACAGGGTGTTCTGGGGCCCAAGGCCATTACTGGTGGGGACCCTGCTCTAGTTGCTGTTCCTCTCTCCTCCTTCCTTTCGCCAGGTGGGGGAGGGTGAAGGGAAAGGGTAAAATTCTCTTTTCCTACTCTGATCTGGGATGAGAGGGGTTAACAGAAAAACCTGGGGCTGTTTGCAATCCCTGCACTAAGATACCCTCTTAAGTAAAGGGAAGGGAGTGGGGAAAGGGAGTGACCAGGGTTGTAAGGAGGTGTTTCAAAACTCCTTAATGATCAATCACAAAGCCTCCAGAATCTGCTAAGATGTTTTTAGCTGTTCTAACTTTTCATTGTAGCCTTAGCCTGGTCAAAGCTGGGGCTACAGGAAGAGGAATCTTAAGAATTTTTTTCTTTGAACTTTTACAATTTTTCTTAGTCTTCTAGATTGTATTGAGGCCAGGCACAACAATTCTCTTGGTCCTCTAGATCATATTGAGGCCAGGCACAAAGCTTTCCTTTTCAGGGTCTTGAAGACTGAGCTTTTTCCAGTTCTTTCTTAGGGGCAAATCTTGGCAAAGTCCTGCTGAGTTTGGCTTTGAAGATCTGGTAGCTGTGAGGCTGGGACAGAAGGGGTATCCTGCACGCACGGGCGTGGGGATGGGGAGTCCCTCTGTGAAGGAGGATCCTGGGGTATAGAGAGAAGGGAGTAAATAAGCCTCAGGAAACCAAAAAGCACCTGCAGTTTTCCCAGTTTTCTAGTGTCTGAGAGAATTGGGCATATGCTTCCAGATAGGTGTCCAACCTCTATGCTGCATAAGGTGTGCCCAGGTTCATGACCTTAAACTGAACCGCTGGACCTGACAGCCTCATAACTCTCTGAGCCTGAGAGCTTCAGGCCCAAAAAGCACTTCCCAGCCTTCCTAGGTGCTTGGAGAGCAACCCCAACTGCAGAGTGAGAAAGAGACAGAGAAAGAGGGGAGGCTTACATACCTTCTGGTCTTGACTAGAGAAGAGCTTGAGGAGATTGGGCAGTTTCCCAGTCAGGGAACCATATATTGTGGTCTAGGAGTATTGGGAATCCTGAAATTTAAGGGCAAAAGGGCTTGAGTCTGCCTCAAAAGAATTTGACCACTCAAGCCTTCTTTCAGTTAGAGACAAGGTTTATTGTGTCACCAATAGAAAAGGGTGGGATTTTAAGAATCTATGCATTTGGTAGGGACAAGACTGACTTTTTTTTTTATAGGGAAAAAGATTGTGGAAAGATTTGGATGGGATCAAGGAATGGCAAGTAATGTGGGGTGGGCCGGTGGGCCAGGTGTAGACAGTGAGGCCCACAATGAAAGGGCAGTTAAAAGGATTATACTGGGAGAGGTCGGATGCTTGAGTCAAACTCCAGAGACTTGGTTCAGGGGCTTTGGGGTCCAGGTCCCAAAGACATGGTCTTTTCCTTTTAGGGGTCAAACACAAATCCCATCTCCATCATTCACACAGATAGTAAATGCCAGGGCCAATGTTTGAACCTGGGTTTTCTTGACTTCAAATCCAACACACTTTTGATTGTGTTTTTGATAGAGAACGTGACAGAATGCACATGATCTCCAAATTGCCCTTGACATTGTGCCTGCAGGGTTCCACAATCCAAGATGCTCAGTTTAAGTTGAAACTATGATCAGTCCTGACAGATAGGGCTGCCATGCCCTCCCAAAGAGCCCTATCATGGTGCTTGGGCAGAATTTTGCAATTGCCTGTTTCTCAACTTTTAACTTAACCTTGAGTCAGCCAATCATTTCCCAGAGAAGTATGGCAATTTCCAGGAAGAGAATTGAGAACGGTCTAGAAGACATAAAACTTGAAATAAGGAAGGAAGCAAGAGACTAAGAAGATAGAAATAAAAGATATGAGGGAAGAGAGGGGTGGTGGTGGTAGGAGGGAGGTATAATAGAAAGGACAAAGAGAACAGAAAGATAGGGGAGGTTTTTTTTATTTAAAGGAGCACAGAGAGATACAGATTTTATTTAGCGAATAATTTAAAGAGTGAAAGGGAACTCACTAGATAAGAAGGACCTATGGACAAAAGGAGGGATTGGGCCAGAGGCTGTGAATGACACACATCTGCTCTGGATTCATTACTAGGTTGGGCTCATACACCAGAGAATGGGATCATTATGGTCCTAACCTTTGCATTGAAAGTGTAAGCTCCCCTCTTCCCTCCCTCCCCTTTTCTCATTCCATACTCATTATGACACTCCATCCTGCTTCTTCTCTCTCTCTTTTTCTCTCCTCCCTCTCTCCTCCCTCTCTCTACTTCATTCTTTCAGACACAGCCAAACTTGGAATGCTTCCTGGGGAGTGGCCCTGCTTGTCTTATTCCCCAGCCAAAGGGGGGACTGACTGAAAAAGGGTAAAGACATACTCAACTGCTGAAGAAGACGGTAGGAAAAGACAGATCACTGCATCCAGTGAGTTGTCCTGCTGTCTGAGGCCCTGAAAAGGGAGAGAGAATGGGGGAGGTGGTGATCACTAAGTTTTAAGTGGTGGGAGGGCAAATTTTGTTACTTTATTCGAGGTTCAGGAGAAGAAGAGACACGAAAGGAAGCAGAGGAAGGGAGAAAGATGTAAGAAATCAAGGAGAACTGGGTGTCAAGGAGTGGAGGAAACTGTGCAAGATGGGGAAGTGGCTATAGGTGGGAGGAAGCAAGGATGGACTGATTGATGGGCGTACTGAAAGCTGTCTTACTTTATGGAAAAAGAGGAAAGATTGAAAAGAACAAAGAATAGTAAACAAAAGACAGACACAGGAGAAACAAGAATAAAAAATCAGAAGAGATGGATAAAAGATAGTGAGGATGAAACAGTGGGAGTTTAAGGACAAAGTGGGGAACGGTATATGAGAAGAGACCAGCCAGTGAGAGAGACAGGGACGCTAGAATATCCTCTTCCAGAGTCAGATGCTGCTATCTCCTTTACTCCTCTTCTCTCCCTTTTCCCTTCTCTCTTAGTCTCTCCCACCTCACCACTTTCTTCCACCACAGACATGCTGCCTTTGGGACCCAAGCTTCTGCTGTGCCTCATTGCACTCTTCATCCCCTGTGGTAAGTCATCCCCCCCTTTTTTTTTCATATTCTCTGTAAGGTGTCTATTTCCAAAGCGTGCGAGTGCATGCGTGTGTGTGTGTGTGTGTGTGTGTGTGTGTATGTGTGTGTGTTTGTGTGTGTTTGTGTATGTAGAGGGTAGTATTATCAAGGCCTGGTACAAAAATCAGTACAACTCCTAGCTAGGGGAGCAATAAAAGGTTAAGTCTGGAAGGGAAAGTCAGGGATGTGAATAGACATAACCCTAGGCTGGCAAAAAGGTCCACTGAAGGCTGTATATAGTATTATTAGGACAGATAAACAAACATACATAAATGAAGGAAAAACACCCATTCAGATTTGTGCACACTGAATAAGGAGAGAAGACAGACAAAAACATACACACATAAGCACAGAGATATATATATGTAGACACACAAACATTTAAGAGCAAGGAGGTCACACATGAAACATATGTACATACTATAAAATACAACTCTTCCTGAATGTAACATGTATCCTCATAAGCCCACGAATACATACATACATACATACATACATACATACATACAGTACACATGAATAAGTGTGCACATTATGTATGCAGAAGGAAAAACTCTTCATAGGAGGTCAGTGCAGAGATTAACAACTGGGAGTGGACCTCACACTTGTAAAACAAAGGTTAGTTTCCTTGCTTCTCTCCAGGTAAGATTTACTAGAGAAGAATTTCTATGGCTGTAAAGTCTTCAGTATAGTAAGTTAAGGAACAATTTTGTCCCGTGATCACCTGGTATGTCACTAAAACAGAAGGAACTTAATGTTGTTGTTTGCAGTTATCCAAATCCTTTCTTTCTCTCGTAGATTGGATTCTACTGGGAGTTAATGGTCAGCGAGGAGGTAAGTGTCCTCTCTTGTTCTGTATTCTATTTGGAAATGATGGAGTGGTTGGTAAGAGTCCAACAGATTATACCCCTGGTGAGCAGATATATTGGTGAGTAGTGGGAGAGGGCATCCTGTAGACACTGAAATGTCTCTTAGCTCTTGTAATCTCATTCCTTCCCCATGACATCTCTTGCTCTTTTACATATTCAAAGACCCTTCTCTCAGGAACATCTCTTTTACTCTGTTCTTCTGCCTTTATCTATTTCTCTTACATTTCCTATGCAAATAAACTCCTTGCAAGTAAGCATTATTTCATTCTTTGGTCTTGTATCCCCAGTGCCTAGCCCATAAAAAGTACTTAATAAAAACATGTTGATTGATTGATTTTCCAAGGAAAACTGGCTGGCCAACTATTTCAGACAAAAACCATTGGATTATTATGTGAATGTGACAAATGGAGAAACAAAGCCACAGAGAAAGAGTACAAATTTTTCTCAGAGGCATCTCTGTCTCTTTTTGAGGAAGCAGAGGCCTGTAAGTGTGGAATACTGCAGAGAATGTCAACTTTTTCAACGTCTTGGTTAGTTTTGCTAAACTTTTTTCTTTTTAAAAAAACTTTTTATTATAAGAGATAACTTTCTGAGAGGGAGAAATTCACTGGGATACATTGAGAAATATAGGTGACATTAAAATAAACTATATCAATAGAATTTTATTTTATTTTTTTAAAAAGAAAAGTTTTCTTGGGTCTAACTGTGAAGTAAGTGGTGGTACATCTGGAAACAGCACCAGGAGGTAAATGTCTCTTCTTCAGAGTTGGTAAATCAAAAAATGTTCAACTCTTCCTCCTTTCCCTCCCCTTCTTAGGCTACTCAGTATAATTATGAAGTAAGATCATTGATATACTGCTGGGAGAACTTAGAAGTCATCTAGTACAACAGGTGAGGAAACTGAGGAACAGAGAGGTCAGGTGACTTTCCCAATGTCCAAAAGGACTTAGACCATTCTACGCTTTGTTAATCTTTCCCCATTCCTCTGATATAGGAAGTAGACAATAGGTCCAGAGGAAAAAAAATGAGGAAAGGATTCTTTTGGTACTGGTTTTTTTTTTTTTTGTTGTTGAGGCAACTGGGGTTAAGTAACTTGCCCAGAGTCACACAGCTAGTGAGTGTTATGTGTCTGAGGCCAGATTTGAACTCAGGTCTTCCTGACTTCAGTGCTCTATCCACTGCACCACCTAGCTGCCCCATTTTGTTACTGTTAATGAAGATATTTGACTCCCTTGATTTACTTACTGCGTACAAATCAATCAGTCAATAGCAAATCAGACCTCAGTAAAAAGAAAACAGAAAAATAGAAAGAAAATAAGAAGTTTCCATTTGTGTTACTTAAGAGTCAGTTCTTTACAGAAGCAGGAAAATGCACATTCCCAGTGTGACAGTCAGAATTCAAAAAATGAGAAAAAGTATCTCAACGATTGGACACTAAAAATGGATCTTTGGCATAGAAGATCTGAAAAACTTGGACATTGTATTTTTATGCAGTCATTCGTCTTTCTTGTCCTCTTTGAGAACTGATAAAAGAAGACAGATTAATTCAAATCTTGGGAGATACGGAGATATGCCTGAAACCATATACTACATCTGTTGCTAAGTTTGAATGAGGATTTTCACAATTTCTCTGAGCTCCAACTGATCCATGCCTCTGTTTTTGTGAGTGAGCTATGTTTTTGTGGAAAAAGTTTACATCTCAGTGGTCTATAACTTTGATTATATCCTAAACAGCCCTAAGATTCATTGGACCTTTAGCAATTCTTATAGAATGAACTTTAGTCCCATTACTTTTACCCTGTATTTGTGTCCCCAATGCCTTCGAAATGTATACGTATATGTATATGTATACGTATATGTATATGTATATGTATACATTTTGTACTAGACATTTAATTTCATCGGTGTAGGGAACTTCTGGTGTAGAAACAGCCTCTGCTCAGTGCAGATAAACAACTTATCCATAAATTATAGTCTTAAAAAACTTCCAGCTAGTTTTTGTCTGAGGCGAGATTTGAACCACTGACTCCTTGGCCAATCCTCTCTCTATTCCACTCTGCCTCCCGTCTTGCACATAGTAAGGGTTTAATAAATAAATACTTGTTGGATTGGATTGAATTGGATTGCGTTGGATCTCAGTCTAAGTATATTTCCTTCTGCAGTATTAGCAATAGTCAGAGAACAAGACAAGGCTCTCTCTTCAGTATTTTATTTTTATTTCCCGTATCTTTTCCCACAACTGTCCTATGTCCTGTCTGGCTGTGATCAGCTGAGCCGGGAACAAACAAGCAAAAGGCTTGCAGAAGACAGTTAAATGGTGTGAATTTACTGACACCTAGTGGGCAGCATTGGCTATGTTATGGACTCAAGTGAAATTAATTCTATCAATGTTAAACACTATGTTAGGTCCTAATGATACAAAGATGAAACATAACATAGTTCCTCACCTCAAAGTGCTTGTAGACACATGAGGAGGGTGAAATATATACACAAATAACACTTAAAATCTGATGAAGTACACAAAGAGATCAGAGTGGCCCAAGAGACTTGAGGGTGACTAGGAATAGATTACTTCTAAATACAGGGATCAGATAATTCCCATATTGATGGGAAAATGCACAGAGTTTGATTTTAGCAAGTTTGACAGAATGCCAAAATTGCTTCAGGTTTGTTTTTTTTTTTTTTTAAGACAATTGGGGTTAAGTGAGTTGCCCAGGGTCACACAGCTAGTAAGTGTCAAGTGTTTGGTCTGAGGCTGGTTTTGAACTCAGGTCCTCCTGACTTCAGGGACAGTGCTCTATCCACTGCGCCACCTAGCTGCTCCATGCTTCAGTTTTCAAGTAGGCGAAATTCGTAACATGAGATAATATTGTTAACAATTTCAGACATTTTTTTGGGTTTGTTTGCTCCTAGTAACAGAAACCATCTTAGGACCTGTCCTGCTTTTACTTTATATTTCCTTTTGCAATTATAACTCCATAGTCTGTGACAGGGAGGCACTTTTGAGCAATATCAGAGTTTCTCCTCTATCACCACTGCTAACACCCCAACAGCAGTCGCCAAGAAATAGTCAAAAGAACCTTTAGCAAACTGTATCAAACTTTAAACCTATGGGATGTAGAGTAGAAACTATACAGGTTTAGGTGATTATATAATTGAACTCCCTTAGTTTAAAAGTGAGTAAACTGAGTCTCGGATATCAGTTAAGTGACTTGCCCAGTGTTACACAGTAGTTATTAACAGACCCTAAATTTGAACACATATCTTTATATAACATTGAAATTCATATTCAATCCAATGTTAGGTATCAAAAGAATAAGGATCTCTGCAAAAGGATTTTTCATTTAATAGAATCTGAAGTCAGATATGTAAAGCACTGTTACTATCAGCTATCTACTTTATATATTCTATACATAGAATTCTCAGAATTGGAGGGGTATTAAAAGGTTGTCTAGTTTACTCTTTTGTCTTTAGGATTGGCTATATTTTATCCTTTGCAGACAAGTGGAATATATTTTTTAAGACCCTTAGAGCAAATTACACAATCTTCTTAGTCGTTCAGCATCTACAAAGTCAAACCTTTTCTCCATCTGTATTGCTGATCTCTATCTTTCTCAAGGATTTTAGCAGTTCATAAGATCATAGAATTATAGCTCTAGAAACTGAAGGGACTAAAGGGGCTATCTAGTCAAAACCCTTCATATTACAGATGAGGGAACTGAGGTCCAGGGAGGTTAAGTGATTTGCCCAAGGTTACGCTGGTAGTAAGTGTCAGAGATGGGATCCAAGTCGCTCAATACAAATCAAGTGTGCTTTCCACTTGCCATCATCCTTGGGGACTTTGATGTTCTTATTGACAACTCTTACGGTAACCTGACCACACAACTGGTCATCTCCATTCCAGTCACCTATTAAGAAATCACAGAACCATAATAGGCAAACCTTAGACACCATCACCACTGATTAGACTTCCAAGAAAGGACTTTAAAATTCTGCTCTCTTACCATGTCACTTATCCTTCTACCTCTTCCATTTTCTAACCTGAATTAAACCTACTATTCATCTATCTCTTGACTTATCACTATTTTGTTATCCATCCCCCATGCCCTGTATTAATTTGCCTAAATAGGTAATCTTGACTTCATAGTCAGCCACTTTAATGTTTTACTAGCTGCTGTTTTAGAAGCCCTTATCTCTTAGAATTCCTATTCTTAGTTAACTCCCAACATCTTATATTTGTTCCTGTTCTAGGGCTACTGAATGTCATTGAAGAAAGCTAAAACCTTGACATGATTTCACTTTTTACTAGAAATTTATGGAATATAACTTTACTACAGACTTCACTACAGATTGACAATTCTACTATATTTGTAGTATATCCTTTTCCTATCTCATTTCCCACAATAATTGTTCTTCTCCAAATTTCACCTCAACATATACAAAACAAAACTTTTTTTCTCAAACTCTCCTCTGTCATAACTAGAATGAACAAATAAATGAATGAATAAAAAAGCACTTATTTAGTATGTTCTTTGTGCCAACCATTGTGCTAAGTGCTGGGGAAACAATACAAATGTGAAACAGTTTCTATCTTCAGGGAGAATAGTGGTAAACAACATATATTAAGGGAGTAGTGGCTGAGGAAGGGTGTTTTGTTTTGGGAATTCAGGGATGGTGAGTGTTCATTGACATACCCTTTCCAGAGGCAAACAGTAGTGTTGAGTTGGTGAAAAAAATTCTGTGAGAAAGGGGTGAGAGGTGGAAGGAGAGGTAGGTGTAATAGAAAAGCTAAAAATGATCATGGTGAAGGTAAGGACCCATGGCTGTAAGGAGTTCAGAATGAAATAGCTTCCCCTCCATCTACCCCCAGGGTGGTTCCTACTTCTGTCAAGGGTATCACTATTCTTCCAGCAATCCAGAGTCATCTTTGGCTCTTCTTTCTCCCTAACCCCAACATAACCAATCAGTTGCCAAGTTTTATTGATTCTACCTTCGCAACCCCTGTTGCATAAATTCCCTGCTCACCACTCACACAGCTAGTATTTTATTCAGGTTCTTATCATGCTTTATTTGGACTATTGCAACAACCTCATAATTGGTCTCCCAGTCTCCAGCATCTCCCCTGTCCGATTCATCATCCACACAACTGCCAATCTGATATTCCTGAAGCACAGGTCTGACTATGTCTTTTCCCTGCTTGAGAATCTCTAATGTCTGTCCAGTCTTCAGGATTAAAAACAAATTCCTCTCTTTTACATTTAAAGCCCTTAGCCATCTGGCTGTGGCCTACTTTTTTTCAGATGTATTATAAAGTTACAACTCTCCTCCACATACTCTACATTCTAGACAAACTGGTCTACTTTCTGTCCTATCTGATTCCACTATTCCTTTTCATAAGCTGGCCCTTATGCCTGAAATGCACTCCCTGTTTATCTCTGCCTCTTGGAATCCTTAGTCTCTTTCAAAGCTCAACTCAAGTGCCATCTTCTACAGGAGATCTTTCCAGATCCCCTCAGCTGCTAGTTCTTATCTCCTTAAATTTTCTTGTATTTAATTTGTATATATTTTGTATCATCTTTATGTGTTTTCCCAAATAGAACATATGTTTCTTAAGGATAGTGACTTTTCTTTTTGAAGGCAGTCTGGGTAAAATGACTTGCCCAGGGTCACACAGCTAGTCAGTACCTGAGGCTGTATTTGAGTTCAAGTCCTCCTGATTTCACAACCAGTGCTTTATCTTCTGTGCTGACTAGCTTCCCCAAGGACAGTGACTTTCGAATCTTAGTAGATGCTTAAAAAATATTTATTGATGGATTTCTTTTCTCTCATTTCTCCTTTCACCCTCAACTTGTACCCACTTCCCATCTACCACAGTTAGGACAAATGAGGTAGACTCCTACCTAACTGAGAAGATTAAGGCCGTTCCACAAGCTATTTTAATTCCTTCCTCTGTTCCTCAAAATTTTTCATCACCATTATCCATTTGTTTTTCATCGCAGAAGACAAAGCAGCCCTGTCCTTGACAAAAGCTAAATCCCTCTACTTGTATTCTTGTTCTATTTTCTTCAGCTTCCACCAGAATCTTCCTTTAGCTGTTATCCTGTCTCATGTATCATGAATCTCTTCTTACCTACTATTTCTTAAACATTAGCCTGGAAACATGATCTGGTCCTCTTAATCTCTCCCTCTTTCCCTTTTCTGCTTCACTGCTGAATTTTTCAAATGAGTCATCTAACTCTCTTCTCCTTGATACACTCTTCCCTCTAGGTTCTTAGGACATCAGTCTCTCCTGTTCTCCTCTTAGCTATCTGACTGTTTCTTCTCAGTCTCTTCTGCTGGACGCTCATCCAGATCATGCCTTCTAACTCTAGGTGTCCCACAGGATTCTATCCTGGACCCTGTTCTCTTCTCCCTCTACATGACTTCACTCGGTGATCTCATCAGCTCTCATAGATTTATGTTGACAATTCTCAAATCTACCTATCCTGCCTGAAACTCTGCTGACCTCTAATCTCATGTCTACACCTGTCTTTCAGACAGCTCTAACTGGTTCTTTAGGACACATCTTAAATTCAACGTGTCCAAAGCAGATTTCATTATCTTGCCCCCTAAACCATTCCCACTTCCTACCTTCCTTGTTACTTATAGTAACGTGCGCCCAGTCTCTCAGACTCACAATCTAATTGTCATACTCATCTCCTCACTATCACTCACTCCCCATATCTGAGCTGTTGCCAAGACCTCTCAGTTTTACCTTTGCAACATCTCTGGAATATGTTCCCTTCTTTCCTCTGACACTGCCACTCCTCTGGTGCAATCCCCCATCACCTCACACTGGACTATTGCAATAGTCTGCTGGTGGGTCTGCCATGTCACCGTCCTCTGCACCCAACTCAGTAAACTACATTGGCTCCCTATCGCCTCCAGTATCAAATACAAAATCCTGTCACTCAAGGCCCTTCATGACCTACCCCACTCTTTCCTTTACAGTCTTCTTACACCTTACTCTCCACCACATACTCTTTGATTCAGTGACACTGGCCTCTTTGATATTCCATGAACAAGACACTCCATTGCTTGGCTTCAGGCATTTTCTGTAACTGTCCCTTATTCTTGGAATGCTCTCTCTTCTTTTTTTCTGTCAACTAGCTTCCCTAGTTTACTATAAATCCCAACTAAAGTCCCATGTTCTACACAAAGCTTTTCCCAGCCCCTCTTAATTCTAGTTCTGTCCATCTCTTAATTATTTCCTATTTATCTTTTATATAGCTTGTTTGTTCATATTTTCGTGCTTGTTGTCTCCTCCATTAGACAGTGAGCTCTTGAAGGCATTTTGCCTCTTTCTGTATCCCCAGTGCTTAGCACAATGCCTGGCACATAGTAGGCACTTAATAAATGTTTATTGACTGACTGATCGGATGCCTCTTTTTCCTCTCAACCTATTTTTTTCTACCCAAAGACCTCCTAATCACCAAATCCAATGACCTTTTTCTCAGTCCTTATCTTACTTGACTCTTTTGCAACTTCTTGCCCTGTTGACCATTGTAGCTTTTTTTTTTAAAAAAAAATTTTGGTGAAACTTACCTCCTTCTACATTGTATTAAAGTTATTTGAATACTCTTTATTTCCCTCATGAACTTCCCCCATAGCTGGCAAACAATTTGGTGAATTTGTTGTTGAAGTGAAAATAACTACATGTGGACTTTTCCTAAGCTTTTTTTTCCCCCATGAAAACACACAAAGCATTCTCTGAACGTTATTTTGGTGATTCTCATGATTCCATAAGGGAGATTAAATGAGTTCTCATGATCTCCTGTCTTCTGAAGTCCCAGGAGAGGAAATGGTATTAATAACATGTAGGGTTCAAAGATCAGGGGAAAGGGCTCAGGGTGAGATTGGGGGCAGAGGTGGGGAGAGTGGAGAATATTGGAACCACTTGGAGGAATGATTTTGAAAAATTCATCCTTTTTCTTTATTCCAGATGAGACAACTCAAGAGACATTTACAGATGATCCTAGTAAGTTTCCATCTCCTAATGTTGTACTAGGAGTAGAATTGGAGCTGACTTCTGCAAAAGGAAAAGTGAAAGTGGAGAGTATTAAGATATTTTAAATGCATGTAAATACTTTTTGTTAGATGATGAAGCCAAGCTTTATTCTGATTATCCTTTCCATTCCATTCAGGTTTTCAATCCTCCCAAGTATCAGCCAGTTCTCCCAGGGTTTACTTTATAATTGCCCCTAAGATCCTATTTCTTTCTCCCTAGTTCTTTAGGCCTCCCTTTAGACATTGTTTATTCTTCTTGCCTGTTTTCTTTCTCAGAATTTCCCCTCTCCTGTCCCTGTACATTAATCTGACTTGGAATATTTCAGATCTGGTGGTGAATGATCCCCCAACAGATGACACAGGTGAGTTCTAATCTGGCAGCTAGATCTCTAGATCTCTATGCTGAGAATATTCTTATTCTCCCATTACTTATTTCTGTGTTTCACCGCATAATTGTCGCCACCTCATAATCGCCACACCCTGTTTTTTTTTTTCAGTCCAAAAACTGGTTTCTAACCTTTCATCGTGTAATTGTCACATGGTATAATTCTGTTTGTCATACTGCTTAAAAGGTAAACAGAGCAGCAATGTATTCCCCAGTGCATATGGATACGCGTTTATGTCTCATACATTGTGAGTGGCAAGCCTAGAATTCTCAACACAGGCTCATTGTCCATAAGCTGACTTGTGTGGTTTGTTTAGAGTGCTGCAGTACTAATGGTATTGTCACTCAACCCAATGAAGAGCCGTAGGTGCAAGGGGAGTGGGAGAGCAGGCGAAGCTGCCATGAGTAAGTCATATGATATGGTAAGATTTACATCTTCCCTGGCTAGCTAAACTGTACAGTTTGTCTGCCAGCAAAACAGTTTGTCTGCTAGCAATAACAAATGATTTTTAAGTAATGCAGCACAATTAAAAAAAATCTTTACATAATGATTGTACCCCACTTTTTTGCAAAAAAAAATTGGCATAAAAATCTGTGACTATTATGCAGTGAAACATGGCACCTGGGCTCCTTGGGATATAGGTTCCTCACCTGGAAAATTAAAGGGCTCAGATTATATAACCTCTAAGATCCTTTACAGTCCTAAACCTATTATAGTATGATCTTTCTGCATGAGAGAAGGGAGGGTAATGGAGTGCCACAAATTCAAAATGAGAGAGAAAGAGAACTCAAAAGTAGCTTGATAGCCAAATTGGAACTGTTCTATCAGTAAGTTGGACCTCTCTTTAGTGAGTATTCACAGCTAGTTTAATTTTTACCCGTTGTAACTAAACCCTAAACCTAGCCTTATTTTCTCAGACAACTTCCTTAACTGTAGCATTCCTCTTTTCTTTCTTCCAGCATTACAGATCACCCCATGCTCTCCCTCCTCCCCTCACATACACACTGTTGTTTTTTTCTTTGCAGTTCTTGTTGATGTTGTGCCTTCCATAGATGATCAGGGTAAGTGTGGCTTTGGAAACCCAGGGACTTCCCCAGAAGTGTGAAGGGACAGGGACCAAAATAGATATGTTTATTGTTCAAGTAGATACCTTCTTTAACTACACCTACTCTGGATTCAGTCTATCAGGGAGGGTTTTCCCCCTTGACCAAGATCATTCTAGCTTGGCTGATTAAAAGGTTAATACAGAAAGTCAGTGCCCAAATGGAGAATTAAAGATCTCTTTCCCATGCTGTGATAATTCTAGTTTACTCTCAGAACTAGGATTCTCCTAAGCATACTACCTGGTAACTTCTAGGTATCTCCTGATGGTACTCTGATCTCTAATCAATCATGGAGCTTTTTGCTTTATCTTTCTTGAGGCCCAAAACTCATTCTTTGCCTACCTCTGGCCCAAGTCAAATGGTGGCAGGAAAATGACCATATCTTCTCTTCAGCCATATGCTACAAAGCCTAACTCTATAATTCCGATAGGAAAGAATCATATTCTTGTGAAAATACACAGTTCCACCAGCGTTCCATCTTTTTGTTTGTCCCCACACTCAAATCCCTAGATAAAAGACTTTCTGGTCACTAGAATCTTTGCTTTATTATGTTCAAGCTTCTAGTTAACTGCTCAAAGACACTAGCAACACATGATTATTCCCAAGTCCCAGGACAGGAAGAAGGAAGATAGATTCAGTATTTCATCCTGCTGGAATTGGTTCTGTCCCATGGCTCATGAGCAGTCTTTAAAGCAGTCTTTTTATAGGCTGTTTGTAAAGGCAACTGAAAAACTGAATGATATCAAACCCCCCACCTCCACCATTACTCCCACCCACACAGCAGTGGCAGAGTAGATAACATCAGAAACTGATAGTAATTAACTAAAACTTTCTGTCTTTTAGCCATCTCCAGTGACAAAAACACCAGTGCAGGTATGAGTGTATCCTGCATGCCTCTCTCTGCTACTTTTCTTCCCTTTCTTTGCTGCTGTTGTTTCTTGTCTCCTTACTCTTGGGTATAAGTTCTAGCTCATTGTTTTCAGTTCTTTCCTTAATCAACTTCCTCTAGGGCACGTGAAATAAAACCAAGGCCTCTGGAGTTTATATACAAATGCATCGAGTATGGAATAATGAGCACAATGAGCTGGAGGGTGGCATGAAATCTATGACTGGAATGTGACTCTGGAAGGGTATACCTTGTTTAACAAGAATAGAATAAGGAAAAAAGATGGGGACAGAATAGCATTGTATATTAAGGGGTTAGATTCATACAAAGAAATCCTTGAGTGGGGGAGAACAATATTGGGAAGAACATTTAAGTAAAGATCTAAAGAAGCAGAAACAACAGGGATATTGTCCTCAGAGTATACTACTGACAACCAGGACAGAAAGAAGAAATAGGTGAAGAGTTCAGGAAACAGAACAGAAGCCTGACTGGGAAGCCCAATAGGGTAGAAATTGGAACTTTGATTATCCAGACATAATTCTCTCATTCCCCAAAAGGCAGAACAGTTAATGATTTCTTGGCTTATTTTAACAATTTCATCCTTCAAAAGGTAGATTAATGAGGGAAGTTCCTCTTTAAGAGTTGATTCTTATCAAAAAATAGAAGAACTGCTTGCTGGGGTGAAATGGATAGAAACTTGGAGGGTTGGGGGAAGGAAGGAAGTCACATAATTTGAAGTGGAAGAGACTTTTGGGAGCATCTACTCTAACCCACATCACAACAAAAATCTTCTTGAAGTGGCCCTAACAAGTGATCAACCAGTTTTTAAAGAGCTCTGCTGAGCAGAGCCCACTTGTCCCTAAGGAAGTTCGTTCTGCCTTTGGAGAGGTCTGATTATTGGGGAGTTTTTTCTTCTATCAGTTCTGAATCCACCTCTTTTCAACTTCTACCCATTACTGCTTTTTCTGTCCCCTGCAGCCAAACAGAACAAACGTAATCCCTTTTTTCACATAATATTATTTAAAATACTTTATTTAGAACAGTAAGTGACATATATAGCACATTAAGGTTTGCCAAACTCTTTACATGTGTTATTATATCCAATTGTCATAACAACTTTGCTAGGTGAGTGCTATAGGTATTACAGGGCTTAGCGTGGAGCCCACGATATAGTAGGTGTTTAATGAATATTTACTGATTGATTGACTGATTAATTATTATCCACATTTTGAAGATGAGGAAGCAGGTTCAGTAAGATTCATTGGTACATTACTGAGGCACTACTCAAACCCATTTCTTCTTGAATCCAGGTTCAGTGTTCTTTCCTATGTATTACCATGCCTCTATCATGTCTCTCCTAAGTCTTCCCTTCTTCTGGCTAAACTTCCACAGTTCCCTTAAATGATCCTCAAATGGCATAATCTTGAGACTCTTCACAATCCTAGTCATTTTCCTTAGGATACTTGTCAGCTTCTCAATGTGTGCCCTAAAATGTGTTACCCAGAATTGATCACAATTCTCTAGTTATAAGTCTGATCAGCGCAGACTATGATGGTAATATAACTTCCCTAGTCCTGGAAACTATTCAGAGTTTGCATTTGCTTTCATGGCTGTCATATCATACTGTTAATTCACAGTGAATCTGCAGTACACAAAAATCCCTAGATCTTCTCAGGCCAATGATTATCTGTTCATGCTGCTCACATCTTGTATTTGTGAACCCAAGTGTAAGACATTTCATTCATCTCATTAATTTTATTGTATTTGATTCTTCTAAAATGTCTAGCCTGCCAAGGTCCGTTTGGATCCAAAATCTGTTACATGGTGTATCCTAAGTTTTGTGCCATCTATAGATTTGATAGATATGGCATATATGCCTTTGTCCTAGGCCAGAGGTGGGGAACCTGCTACCTCAAGGTCACAATTTGTTCTGTGAAGTTTGGATTCAGTCAAACGGCTGCAGTTGAGGACCTAGAGGGCCACATGTGACCTCAAGGCTGCAGGTTCCCCACCCCTGTGAAGCAGGCAATGTTAATGATGTTGAATAGCATAGGGGCAAGTATAAATTCCTAGAACAATCCATTGGAGATGCCCTTCCACACTGCCATTGAATCCTTAATGGATTCTCTTTGGGTTTGGCCATTTAATCAGTTTCAACTCTACCTAACTGTACTACCTGTCCCACATCACTCAATATTGTCTGTGAGTATAGCGTGGGAGACTAAAGTATCTTGCTAAAATATCTTGTATACATATTCTATCTTAGAATTTGTGGTAAAAAAGGAGAGGAAAACTAGGCATAGTTTGACATGCACCTTAGATTTTGGGACAGGATATTTATACAACTTCAGAGAAAAAAAAAGTGTGCCATGGTTACAATACTACAAGGAAAGTCAGCCCAGGGTGTATAAGAAACTCTTAAGAACACAATTCTTAAACCAGAAAGAAATAATTTTGATGAGGAGGAAAAGTGTAAGTTATCTAAAGGATTAATATTAATTCACAAGGAGCTCATTGATCAACTTGTATTTTTTTTTTAAATGTACATGAGATGGAAGCAAGGGAAAGTAATGGATGATTAATGCAAAAGCAGTCTTTAAGAATATTGTCAGGATTTTTAAAGCTCAGAAAGAGCTAAGTAAAGGTAGAAGCAAAGCTGTTTTTTTATCAGAGAAAAGAAGGGAATTAAAGAAGGGGTAAGATTTCTATTTTGTGTGAATGGAAAGTGATAGAAAGAGAAAGATACTTAATTATTATTTTGCTTTTATTTTCTCTGACAAGGAGAATGATATTTGAACTGGAAAGGTCAGAAAAAAAACTAGTAACAGAGTAATTAACTAAGATAATTAGTGAAAAATTGAGAAACACCTAGTTTTCTCAATTCAAGTTACCAATCGGATTTGACCTCTGAGAGTATTTTTGAATAATTTGTGGGTATCATTGCTGGGCTGTTTGTCAATGGTCTTTAAAAATATTGTGAGGAAGACAAACATCATTCCACTAGTTTGGAAAATGGCAAGGGTTGCCCAAATTTCAAAAAAAGGAGGAGAATGGATTCTGGAAATTATAGGCCAGTAATCTTGACCTTGATTTTTGGAAAAATTCTAGAATGAATTATTAAAAAGATGGAGAACATCTAGAAAGAAAATAGTGATCACAAAAACTAGCATGGCTTCATCAAGAATAGATCATGCCATATTAACTTAATTTCCTTTTTTTGGACAGGTGTAGGTAGCATAACATAAAGGCTTAGAGTCAGGAAAATCTGAATTCAAATTCCACTTTTGCCACTTAATAACAAGACTTTACCACCTCTATGTATCTTTGGTAACTTCTTGGGATAATGAAAGGCAGAGGGGATTCCCAAATCAGAAGTTTTCCACATCAACTCATTGAAAATCTTTTGAGTATTTCAGACTAGCCTGAGAGATCAGGATAATACTGTGGATATAGTTTACATAACCTTGAAAAGAATTTGACAAGTCACCCATACTATTCTCATTGACAGGATGGAGAGATGTAGGGTAGACAATAAAATAGGTGGATTTGGAAATAGTTCAATGGTCAGACCCAAAGAATAGCCAGTAATCATTCAATCTCAATGTGGAAGGAGGTCTGCTCTGGTCAGGCCATGCTTAGAAGATGACTTGGGTGATGAAAGGTCTCAGGATTATGATATATGAGAATGACTTAAAGAAACTGGTAATGATTGGCTTGGAGAAGAGAAGAAAGGATGTGGCATGATAGCTGCAAGTATTTGAAAAGCTCTCATTTAGAAAAAAATATTGCACTTATTTTGTTTAGCCCCAGGAGGCAGAACCAGTGGTAATGGGTGGAAATTGTAAAGAGGCAAATTTAACTTATGGTGTAAGGGAAAATTTTCTAACAATTAGAGCTATTGAAAGGTGGAATGGGCTGGCTAGAAAAGTAGTGGTTTCCCCTTTACTTCGTGTCTTTAAGAAAAAGCTGGATAACTACTTATTGAGTATAATGTAGAAGGGACATATCTTTAGACATGAGTTGGACTAGATGTATTTTGAAGTCCCTTCCAAGTCTGAGATTCCATAATTTTGAATTTTCAATGTTCTTGATTTTTATTTTATTTTTCTCCTTCCCCCTTTTCCCATTTAGATCATTTTAGAGGAAAAACAGGGCCAATAGCTGGATAGTTTTGAAATTCCCCTTCTCTCTGTTGGGATTCCCAACCTCTTTTGGTTCCCCTACTCCTTGTCTTTCAGAAAATCTTTTCTCCATATTCATTCTTCAAGATAAAAGGAAATAAATTCTAGAATTCATCATTTATATGCACATAAGAAATAAAAAGATTACTTTTTCATAAATAAAATTTTATTTGGTATGTAACATTTTTTAGTATCATAAAATTGTTAAATGTTGATCAGAACACAGTCAAATAAATATTCTCTTTACCTTCTGAAAAGCTTTTCAATATCCCTGGTTGAGAACTCCTTACCCTAGAGCATTTGATTTCCTCACTTGGTGAGTAATTGGTTGGTTTATCAAATAACAATTAGGATAGGGATTTCCATTGACATCTGTGCCCCTGATCCATAGATAAAATAAACAAAAACAAAACCAAAAACCCTCTTAGTTCTTCACCCTCCACTGATAATCTATGAAGTTTTAGATGTTTTTCACTTGACAATTCAGTTTCCCATCTGAGAATGTCTAGAGTTTTCAAGATAGGAAAATATTTGAGGGTGTCATCATATTCCTGTTTATTAAGCTTTAGTGAATTTTTTCCTGCTCTGTGTTTAACCGAGATGGAGAATGTTTTCCTGCCTAATAGTAGAATGAATATATTCACATATATGTATATGTATTCACACATATAGTCCCTCCCTCAATGTTATTTGCTCTTTTCATAGTTCAGAGGAAAAAGCAGGCACTGCTATAATATGGGATACTGAAACACCCATAGGAAAAGAAACACCCAAGGGACTTTAATCTCTTTAATGTGAGACAGAAGATAGATAATCAAACACTGACTCGTCCTCTTCATCCCCAAAGAAAATACAGCGCAGACCGCTCTGTCTGAGTTTTTACCCTGTCCAAACTGTAGACCTCATTTCTTGGCTATACCTCTTTTCTGAAGTCCCCCTTTTTTACTGGGCTGTCCTTCTGCAGAGTGCCGGGAGGAGCAGTTTCCCTGTACTCGCCTGTACACAGTGCGTCGGCCAGTGAAACAGTGCATCCATCAAGTATGCATCGTCAAGTAAGGGAGCCCAGAACCCTCAGGATTAATTTGCTCGGATGGCATAAGTATCTCCTGGGCACTGGGAATCCTAGAAATTTTGTTTTATTTAAAGCTTAAAGAAACAGCAAGAATCTTGAAACTTAGCCTTTCATGCTAACTAGTTCTGAAGATGACAAGACTGAGTCACTTAACTGGAGGGAAGTAGGCACAAGGCACTTTGGTTAAGGAGGAGATTCCTGGTAGTGAAAATGGGTTGTCTAGTGGGATAAGATTGAAGTCAAAGATACAATACCAGGTAAAGGAGAACATGGGAAGAAGCTCTGGAGCAATGTGCAAGTTTGTCTGCTAATGAAGGAGTTTGTTTAGTGAATGGGTGCTTTGTTACATCTCCCAAACAGAAACAGAATAGCTCTGGGAAGTCCAAGGCTTGCATGTTTGTGTGTGTGGGATGGGGTGGAGTCTGAGAAGAACAAGGTAGGTGGGAGTGGGGGCTAAGGCTTGGAAGGAGCTATACTCTTGAGATAAGCCTGTCCCTATTTCTCCCTCTTAATCAGTGTCTTTGTCTTTTTCCTTTACTGCTTTTGATTTCTCTGGATGTTGACAGTTTCCGCCGGACATATATGATCAATAAGGAAATCTGTTCCAGGCTCATCTGTAAAGAACATGAGGTTATGAAAGGTAATATAAGGACCAAGGGTTGGAGGAGAGGGATAAAGGTATTTTGGGCCCTTATTGTAGGAAGCACAGGTTTGTCAAAACCCAGTAAGATAGATTTCCTTCTGCAGAATACTGCCAAAGGTAGTAATACTAACTCCTATTTCTGTCATCCTTTTTTCAGAAACTCCTCTGACACAAAGGGTCCACGTATATTTATGCTAATTTTTTCACTCATGACTCAATGTCCATTCAGGAAACCTGGGACCATACATGCATGGTACCTCCTAATACATTGAAATAGACTCCTCACTTGTGAACATTTGCTTCATAATGTAACTGAGGAAAGTCTTTTATTTTAAAGAAGGGAAACAAAATTGAAATAATAGAATCATTAGTAGGGTGGTGAGGTGGTGCAGTGGATAGAGCTCTGGGTCTGGAGTTAGGAAGACCTGAGTTTAAATTCAGCCTCACTTACTGGACCAGTCACTTAACTACGGTCTTCTTCAGTTTAACTCATTTGTGAGATGGGGATAATAATAGCGTCTGCTTTCCAGGGTTATTTTGAGGATCAAATGAGATAATAATTACAAAGTGCTTAGCACAGTGTCTGGCACATAGTTAAGTGCTACATAAACATGTAAGTGCTATATAAATATAAGCTATTATTGTTATTATTTTTAGTCCTAAATATTTATGTAAGTCCCCAAAGGCCTATTTCCTGAGCATGAGGACTTCTCTGACAGAGGCATTTGTCCCACAAGTCCTTTCTTGACCTGAGACTCCTTGTTCCATAAATGGGAAAGAGGAGGGTCAGATGATAGTCTTCTCTCTTTTTCCCCTTCCTCCAAAGATTATGCTTCTGAAGAGTGGGCATTGAGTCTCTACTCACTTAGGCCGGCCTGGAAAAATTTGAAGTTTTGATACCGTCTTTTCAGGGCCAGATGATGACCAAAATATCCCCTGGGTCTGGATTGAGTCTCTCAGATTTGTGCTGTTCTTTTCTCCACCTTCAGTCTTTACAGTTAGGAGCCTTATTCATCACCATGCCCTTGGGGCAAACATTCTATTTTCTCCATTTCCTTAAATGGGAAAGAGAGAGACAAAGAGCAAATGTCCTAGTCCTTCCAAAATTTATATAGTGCTTTCTTTTAGTTCTGAACTGTGATATCATCTAATTGGGGAACTCCTCACACCCATGCAAATAGACAACTTATCAGTAGCTTATTGACTTAGAGATTCCTGTGGCACTAGAAGTAATAGGACTTGTTTGGGTCACATGGCCAGTGTGTGTCAGTTCTTCCTGACCCTAACCACTAGCTACAGTGCCTTTCTGGCTTTCAAAATGCTCAGAATGATTGTGAGTTATATACTCTAAGTATTACTATGTCTATCTTATGGATGAGGAAAGTAAGGCTCAGAGAAATTAATTGACTTGCTCCAAATCACAGTGCTAATAAATGTCAGAGCAAGGATACCAACTCAGGTCTTATCAGTACAAGTCCAGTGGCTTTTCTTAGCCCACTGCCTCTCCACTTTAATAATAACTAGAGAAAAGAAAGCATAAATACTAACACCCACAAATTAATGCTTTATTCATGTTTCCTTGATCCTTCCCCCATTTGACCCAGAGATAGTGAGATGCAAGAAGACATAGGTGGAGGAGAAAAGATTTTAGCATAATATGGATTTATCCATCAGGGTCACTGAATGGAAAAGAGGAGATGCTGTGTTGGACCATCATTTTCTATCTTAAAACTTTCACACAAAGATTTCAGGACCTTCTGGATGGGGTTGAGCACCCTGGTCCCTGATTGAGACAATATGCTTTATGAACTTAATATTCATCCATTCATCAAATATTTATTAAGTGCTCTGTGCATCATGCTTGCCTGTGATTCACTAGTCTTTCAAGGGCATTTGTTGGAGTCCCAGGTTAAGAGGGAAGATGTCATTATGGTCAGGAGACCCCACTGAAGAGCAACAAAGTCAAAGACCTAAAGTGCAAATCATTATTTAAAAAAATAGGGAAACTGAGGCACAGGCAGGGGCTGTAACCCATTGCACAGTGAGTCATATACAGAGCTGATGATAGCATCTAAGGGAGTGTTGGCATTCAAGTTACTAGACTCTCTGTTTTGCTTGGTCTGTGGAATGTCATGGGTGAAGGGTAGAGTGGTTTTAGAAAGACTGGAGGATTCGAGGTTATGGTTTTCAGTGTGAGCATTTACACTTTGGAAATTAGCAAAGGTTACAAATCAGGGCTTGGTTTATTGTTTTGTTGATGCTCTTGCCTTAAGAAAGTGATGGAGACAATGTTAACAGTACAGATTAAACTGTTGGACATTAAAGTGTGTCGGGCATTTCCCGGAGAGCTGATTGTCAAACATTTCCCGGCACACCCTTGCCCAAGACCATTCACTATGTGAGCAAAGATACCTCTCTTCTCCTCTATGTCTAGGTCTGCATGGTGGTTGTGGGCAGGGTGAGTACCACAGACACTGCCTCCTCTGACTCAGCTGCTTAGTCTCTGCACCAGAGACATAGTGAGCTTTGCAGAAGAAAATTTGTTGTATGCTCCCAGTAGCTCTGTGCCAATCACCTGCAAGAGAAGCACCTTGAGACTGAAGATGGGACATGGGAATTCTTGGCTTCCATATCCCAGTGTTTCTGGGGATCCTTTAAGCAAGTATCTATCTTGAGCTTTGCACATAGTCAGCACGTTAATCAATAATTGTTGGTTGCTTGACAATCCCTCAGTTTCCAGAATAGAAAGGCCCGTTTATTAGGACCATGATTGGGAGTCAGAGTGTAAAAGCTGGAGTTTTTGTGATTGTTGTTGTTTCCTTTAGACACAAACCCTTATCCTTTCCTTGTATTTATCAACCTCCCATTCTTTGCTTCCCCTCCAGATGAACTTTGCCGTCAGATAGCTGGTCTTCCTCCAAGACGTCTCCAACGTTCCAACTACTTCCGTCTCCCTGTTTGTGAAGATGTGGAAGTGGAGAGGCCCAATGGCCTGTGATCAGTGAAGAAGAAGAATGGAAAAGGGGGCAAGAGGGAGGAAAAGGAGCCATTTTTTTTTCCTAGGTCAGCTCACCCATAGACATCATGATGTTTTTATCAGGTTCCTCTGCCCTCTCCCATGGCCTCTGACCCAAACTGCCCTTGTTGGGCTCTTTCTTCAGCACTTCAAGCGGTGCTGCCAATCTGTAACGTCACTGTATAATAGGGATGCCTAATGACTACATAGCTGACCTGGATTCCAGGATGGTGGGATGTTAAGTAGATGACATATAGGGAGGGAATCTATTCTTGGCAATCTAGAGGATTTTGTATAACATATTGCTTTCAAAGAACCCTAGAAACCTTGTTTCCCTTACTAGCTCCCCTTCATCTATACATCTGTCCTTACTCCTCTTTTGACTTGTCTATAGTACTAGCTAAGGTTTTAGCATTTGCCTATTAAACCCTCTCTAGGGGGAAAATGATGGTGCTTTCCAACATCTGGTGTTCTTCTCAGAGAACAATAGTTCCTCTGAGAATATTTAAACAAAACCTAAGACTTTTTAAAAACTTGGGTCTGGGTCTGAGGACCAAACCAAATAAGGGCCTAGGACCTCTCTCCTATGATCAGATCTGACAATGTAGCTGGAAGTCAGGTATCATTTAGTGACTCATTCATTCACACATTAATTCATTCATTCAGTTAAGCATTTAATGATTATTTTATTGACTTTTCATGTAACAGGGAATCCCATTAATCCAAAAAGCTCTAATTGGAATAAATGAGTCATTTCTAATTACCAGGAAATAAGCTCTGCCTTTGTTGACCCATTTTCATGACCTGTGCTAAGTCTGTGAGGAAGTATGTAAGTAATGTGGATTTACAGCCCATGGGGAAGATTTGGGATGTTTGGCTTATAAAATACTGTGATTAGCTTGGAGAAAGCAAAACATTAATATTTAAATAGAAAAGAGTAGGAGTTAGTGCAATCCAGAAAAATAGAACTGGAATGAGATTATGAAGTAATTCATTCCAGTAAAGGAAATAAAGATTGATGTGTCATGGTGGAGAAATAGTTTCCCAAAGAAAATCTTGGAGAAATGTTTTGGAGGCTTTGTAAAACCCAAGGAGAAAAGGATTACTGATGAAGAGTCATTGATAAATTCCACAGAGAAAATGTCAGATAAATACTCTAGAAGAATTATTTTTCATTGTGTTAAGATATTCCAATATAAAAAAGGCTGGGAAATAGGTCATTGTATTGGGTAAGGGTTAAGATATGGGCAAGACGGAACATCATCCACAAGATAAATTCCTAATACCAGGCCAAAGATATGAGCTTCTATTAGGCAGGCCATGATTCTTCTTCCCTCTTGCTCCAATTCTCAAAATACATAAAATATGAACTATTCCACACACTAGCATTTGTATCTGGGCTTGGAAAAGGGGTGTCAGAACTGAATCATGCTGGATAGATGTTAGATTTCTTGGAATGATGAATGAAAAGACCTGAACTAAAATTGCAGGATGGCTGGTATGTAGTCTTGTCTCTCCAAGTAGTCAGCTGTGATCATAGACAAGTCATCCATCACCAACCCTCATTTTTGTCCTTTGTAAAATGAGGGAGTTCCTATGATTCTATGGATTAAAATTTCAGTATTAATCTCTCTTGGGGCCTAGATACCAGAACCCTGTTCTGGCTCCAAAAAAATAGCTGTATCCTATTTTTTGGGGACTAATTCCCTCTATATTAGGACAAATAGTCTACTATGTAAAGGGCAGATTCTTGCCCACATAAGGGCCAGGTTTTTTTCCAAAGGATCTTTCTGGCTAAAGAAATGATTTCATTCATTTCTAGGGAACAGTGCTATGGTCCAAGAAGTTGTTGGAGATTATCATTTAAAGACTGAGACTCTTTGCTGTTGTGACATATGTCCATTCTTCAGGGATTACATGCCTCAATGCTAAGAAGTCTTACTCATTTAAAAAAGTAGCAGAATGCAAATCGATATGGTCATCAAGGACAATTTAATGGGATTTTAGCTAGAAAGATGCCAGAAAGAACCTGAAGTTCTGTTCCTCCTTTGCTCTGTTCCATGAGGTCTGTAGGGTTGAATGTAGGCATACATATAGACAAACATATTAACTGTGTTCTTTAAACACCATACAGGAACTTCATGGGTACAAAGTTTCTGAGAGGCATTTAAGAATCCTTTCTAGTACTTGAACCTCTTCTTGTATGCAGGACTAGAGGTAGTATTCCCTTGGGAAAGTGCCTCAATCCTGGCAATATGTATAATGGATAACAAAATCATGAAAAGAAGACATCATTTCCGCTTGTACTGGAAAGTAATCTATTATCTGGTTATTTCCTGCCTTCTTTCCTCTTTATGCTGACATATAATACCTAGCTGTGCTCTGCTTCCATAACTCAGCTGAGTCTCTGATTCCATTCCTCTGTTTTAAATGGTTTTCTTTAGGCTGGCCCATATAATTCCCTACCAGACACGCATTTCTACCTCCAAACCTCTGCCATTACTCCTCCAATCACTTCCTAACTCTTTATACTTTTGCAGGTATGATCCTTTCTGGAACACATCAGACCATCTCTTTTCATTGTTGACATACCCAACAATCTCCAGGAAACTTCACACAGGGTGAAGATTTCAGTCAGTCAGTTGATAAATACTCATTAAGGGTCTTACCATGTGCCAGGCACCATGCTAAGTGCTGGGGATACAAAGAAAGGCAAAGATAGTCCCTGCCCTTGGGAAGCTCACAGTCTAACAAGGGAGACAACAAACCAAAACAACCATGTACAAAGAAGCTATGTATACAGGATAAATAGGAAATAATCAACAAAGGGAAAACACTAGAATTAAGGATTTGGGAAAAGTTTCCTGTAGAAAGTGGGATTTTAGCTGGGATTTGAAGCAAGCCAGGGAAGACAAGAGATGGAGGAGGGAGAGCATTCCAGGAATAACCAACAATCAGCAAAAATTTCTGGAGCCAAGAGATGGAGGATCTTGTTTGAGGAACAACAAGGAGGCCAGTGTCATTAGATCCAAATGGAAGTTGAGGGAAGGGGATAAGATTGTAAGGTATAAGAAGACTGGAAAGTGGGTGAGGGGGGAGGGAGTTAGGTTGTGAAGGGTTTTGCATGCCAACCAGAGAATTTTATTTTTGATCCTGGAGGGAATAGGGAGTCATTTGGATTTATTGAGTAGGGAGGATGACATGTTTGGACCTGCATTTTAGAAAAATCACTGATGGCTGAATGGAGGATGGATCGGAGTGAGGAGAGACTTGTGTCAGGCAGACCAAATAGCAGGCTATTGCAACAGTCCAAAAATGCAGTGTCAGAGGAGAAAAGGAGAGAATTTCACTCTTCTCCCAACTTTGCAAACTCTGTCTTTGGTACTGTCTTTATTTCTCACTACCTCTGCCTCTGCCTCTGCAACCCCCCCCCCCCCCCCAATTTCATGGGAAGAAATCAGGAAATGTCAACAGATTTATACATCCTTATAAAGCTCTCCAATTCCTTGCTTAGTTGTCCTCTAACTTTGATTCTAGGCAAAATTTTGAAATAAGTTTGAAAAGTATTGCTTCTTCCTTCCTACCTCATTTCTCCTTTATGAATTCTTACCACCTGTTACTGGGACTCCCTTTCCCTTAGCCCTATGTATACCTTAAAGGTTAAAGGTTTTCATCCCCTTCCCCTCTTATCACTCAGAGAAAGGATCTGATAAGCTCATTGGCATTAATATGTTAAAGAGTGAAATGCTGAAACTATACACTTCTAGGGATACTTACATTTTAATAAAAGACAATTTGTAGGCCAGATGGATGAATTTTTAATAGTGGACTGTTAGATATCAGCATGGTGATGGAAGGTTTTTTTTTTTTTTCTTTTTGATTGGGGAAAAGGAGAGGATACCTTCCTTGAAATGATACTTTCTGGGTATCCTTGATATCATACCCCAAAGTCACCTATTCTGCTGATATAAGTTCTGCTGTCTTGTTCTTTTCTAAACCTGAAGTCTCCTATCTTGGCTGAAAGCAGTTGAGTTCTATTTTGATGGAATGTCTTCGAGAATCCCTCCTGCCATATCTTGTAAAACCCCTGCAGTTCAGCACAGAGCACTGGTTGTGGTCCTTTTGATTTGAGGCAGCTAAACAAGCTCCAGCTGCCTTCACCACTGAGCCTGCCTTTTGATGCCTTCAAGTAGCAGAGAATACTGGCCACAAGCTCCTCCTCCTCCTCTCTCCCTTACCTCTTAGGGACTGAGAGTTAAAGCTAGTTTTCTAATCATATTCTCTGTACCTAGACAGAGCAGACAAGCCACTACCCACCTTTGTGAACTTTCTGCCTCCACTGAAATAACCATGGCCCAATGAAAGGAGGGAGTTTAAGAAAAATCAGAAGAAAGGAAGAGAAATACGCTGGCCTTGTAGCATGAGAAAGTGAGGAAGGCAGGGGGATGGTAAAGGGGAGGGTGACAGCATTACAGTAGAACTGAGAACTAAGAGGGTGGGAGCAATGGAAAGAATGAAAACTGTGAGGAATAATGAAAGCTAGAAGGTATGATTAAAAAAAAAAAGGAAAGAAAAGGCAAGGGCATGGTTGGGGGTTGCCAGAGGGAGGTGTGAAGTCACAGGGACACCAGTAACATTGTAAAACAGCCTCCAGATCTTCACAATATTTTTCATTGCCTGGGAAAACAAAGCTTTGGATGACAAGTCCAAAGTTTCAGTGATTACCATTCTCTCTGCAGCTCACAACAGCATCTTGTTTTCAAATGCCTACCAGTAGGGGAAAGTGACTAGTCCTCACTGAGGTTTCGTTGTGGTAAAAGTGGGCAAGGAGAGCAGGTGGCCATAGGCTTCTCTAAAACCAGTCAAGCAAAACCAGCAGCAGCATAGTCAGATTATAACTTCTGAGTAGACCCCAAGATGGAAAAAGCAGACGTTGTTTATATAAATAGAGATGCAGAGCCCGCAGCTTCCTGTTGACAAACTAGGCTTCATTGCCTCTCCTCCAGTTATTAAAATTTTTTTTCTACTTGGTTATAAACTTTAAGCCATATTTGCAGTTTTTGTATAGTTCCCTCTATATATCCATACATATGGACCATATTGTCATATACAATATACTCTAACACTAAATTTGACAAAAAATTTATTAAGCATTTACCGTGTACCAGGTCCTGTGCTAGCCATTGAGGATAAAGACAGAAATGAACCAGTCCCTAATTTCAAGGAGCTTACATTTGACTGGGGGTTACAACATGATCATAGATAAAAATAATATGGGATAGTGAGGAAAGGGGCAAAGAAGAGATCTGATACCTAGTCCTAGGAATATTTGAGGTTGTAGCATTAAAGGTGAGGTAGAAGAAAATGGGGCTAGGTAGAGGAGGGGACACTTGAGCTGAATCATGAAAGAAAGATTCTGCAATGTACAGATGAAGAGGAAATACATTCCAGGCATGAGGAATGGTTTGTACAAATGCATGGAGGTGGGAGATGGCCTGTGGAGCTTGGGGAATAGTGAGTAGTTCAGTTGGATTGGAAAGTAGACTTCATGAAGTTGGGGGAGGTGTTGTTGGTAATTTAAGGAAAGAAGAGAAACTTTAAAACAGATGCTTTGGGTAGTGAAATAGGGAATTAAGCAGGGAGGAATGAAGGGGTTGTCCTGAAGTAGTGAAGGCCCAGGTAAGATTAGATAACATAAATTTGTAGTGACTTCACTCAGCAAAGTGTGATTTCTTCCATCCTCTAACTGTTTTTAGTAGAGTG